TTTCTCTCTCTCTCTCTCTCTCTCTCTCTCTCTCTCTCTCTCTCTCTGAGAAACCCTGAACGATATCATACTTCAGAACAATGACGTCTGCTTCTGAAAGTGCTAGGTTCTTTGGCTGCATGCAAAGCACAGGAGTTCGATTCACTCTTTGGGATCGTACGTTTCATGGTATCCCCACCTCTCTCCCAGCGGAAAAATAGAATGACAATGAAGGCGTTTTACGCCCTCATTGACACAATTTAGACCATTTAAGAGGCGTGCTTCCAACCTTGCCTGCTAAGGCCAACTCAGGGTGACAAAAGATGCAACATCCCCAGAAAGTCTGAGATATTTGATAAAAATGTATCCCCTATCCGGAATCGAACTCCTGTCTCTTGAGCGCGACAACGAAACGCCTAACCAATAAACCACAGATGTGGCGGGTTCCCCCAGGAAAAATTGGCTTTCCAATAGCCAGAGTCAAAGCACTCCACTTCCTCAATGATCTAAATTGTGTAGGGGGAAGTTACGAGACAGACCTGGAACCGAACATACACCTATTAGTTGTGAGAAATGTTGTTTTTTTCTCAAGTCCTTGAGTACAATAGGTCGCTTTTAAGCACAAGGGGGCTATCCCCAAAAATGCTGTTTTGAGAAAATCGGGGGTACAGTTTTTGACCCTTGTTCAATTTCTTAAAAGACAAGGAGAGTTTTCTCTATAACCAAACAAATATACACACCAATGAAACCAAACTTCTCCTATAGGTAGGGCAACGTCCAATTTTAGTGTAGGTCAAAATTTCTGGAAACCCCCGAAATCTGGGCTAACCTGCTAGTCCTTAAAAGCGATCAATTATTATTTATTATCTAACAGTTATTAGGATAAACCAACATATTAGAATTTAATTACAAATATAACCTAAGTTGAATTTTATAAAGCATTCTTACGTCGCTTGCAACACAAATATATCTTCTTGTAAGTCCAAAAAGTTAGAGATGTTACTATTAAGAAGCACATAATCGAAATGAGGAGAGATAAGGGCCAAGTTGTTTGATAGGGAAGAAGAAGCAAACCACACCAGAGCATCCGCCAATCACCCACATTATAATATTATAAACAGGCAACAAGCTTAACAAAAAGCACGGGAAAGACGTTTGCTCCTCACCTCGACTCCGTATCGTAACAGAGGCCAGGAAATGAAAAAAGTAAAAGAAGTATTAACATTTCAATGTAATGAATCAAACATGCATCCCACGCTTACAAAAAACAGCTAGTGTTCTCTACGTCATTCGGTGTAGAAGTTCATGTATATAATTTAGTTTCAATCATTATCTGGTTAAGTTAACATATTAATATAAAATATTATAATTAACCGTAATGAGTGCCTTAATTAGATATTTGAGCAAACAGAATAGTCTTCATGATCCCCCAGAGCGGAGGGAAATTGCCTTGTTAAGGACAACAGCGTAATGAAAAAAAAACCCAACTCACTATCAACAAGTTGCTGACGTCATACGGCTGATAGTGTGAGCGGGGGGAGTAAAGGAGGTCAAATCAGCTGGTTATGTTTGACATTAAGTGTATATGGGCGTGTGTACTTACTTATGTGTATTTGTGGGGGCGGAGGGGATGTGGATGTGTATGTGTGCGTGTGTGTGTGAGTGTGTGTGTGTGTGTGTGTGTGTGTGTGTGTGTGTGTGTGCGTGTGTGTGTGTGTGTGTGTATGTGTATGTGTGTGTGTTCTTTGCCTGAGGCAAGAACAGAGACTTCAGCTGAGTCTTACACACTCCCTGCCACAGACATTTCCGGCCGCAAATCAGTCTGATCAACCACCCCCATATATAATCGGTCGCTTTTAAAGACAAGCGGTCTAAATCAAGACTCCGGGGGTTTCCAGAAATTTTGACCTACACCAAGAGTGGGCATTGTCCTACCTATTTCTTTGGTGTGTATATTTGTTTGGTTATAGAGAAATCTCTCCTTGTCTTTCAAAGAAACTGAACAAGGGGCAAAAAACTTTACCTTCAATTTTCTCAAAACAGCATTTCTCGGGATAGCCCCCTTGTGCTTAAAAGCGACCAATTTCTATCGAGTGTCTCGGTCTTTCTGTTGTGATACTGTATCCCTCTCTGCCCGGATTGACCCTGACTGGCAAGGTCGTCGAATCCTGACTTTGAACGATCTAAAGTGTATCGATGGGGGTTTTAAACACCTACATGTAATCATTTTTTATACTCTATAGTAACAACCTTGAAAAAGAATACTGACGTCTTTAAATACCCTGGAATGCTCACGTTTTTTTAATTTTCTGGTAAAGAATTGAAAATTAATCAGTACGAATTGTAAAGTTCTGTTCTTTTTCCTTGGGGGGGGGGGGGGTGTTTGATTTTTTTTTCCGTTTTTTATTTAAAGAACCTCGGTACAGAGTACAGAGTGTCCTCTAGTATTGCCAAATGATTAGAATGCGCGTTTCCTCAGTGTTTTAAACGCCAATCTCAAAACAATAATGTGGAAATTCAAGGACAGCGCGTCCCAAAAGATCGCCCATTCCCCAGCCGGACCCCTCCAGATGGGAGGAGCGCCGTGGTACCTCCACCAATAACTCAAGCTTAGGAATGGCAACATTACTTGTCTCACTTGTCCACTGTGTTGGGGTCACTGCAGTCGGAACATGTCCATCTCTGATCTCTCCCCCCCCCCCCTTTCAGGATCAATGGCCACACTGGGAATGGGACCTAAGGTAATTCACGGAGCAGTTTAACATGACAGCAACTGAAGAAACGCAACACCCTTCTGAAAGAGATTCTTATTAGAGTTCACCGCCAATTTTACGGTTTCGTTCGCTGCAATAATGCGCTGTCGTTGTGATGATATATTATTATTATATTTCAGCGTTAAGAAATTCCCCCCAGACTAACAAAAGTTAGATGAAACCCGTGAGACACACCACATTTAAGTACAGATTCGTTCCTCAACACAGTTTTCGTTTTAGTAAGAGTTTACCGGTACTTGCAACACAATAAGGTCATATAAGTGCCGAAGATTAGAGGTGTTACAAGAAAGTAACAAACAGTAAAAAGGGAGGAGAGATCAGGATGATAGATGTTTGATAGGAAAGAAGGAGCAAACCACACCAGAGCACCCCGGCAACCACCCCCTTCCCCAACACGACAAATGCGACAATTTCAATTTACCAAAGTTGAGCCAAAACAATACATTCACAAAATAAACGAGCTTACATTGTGACCAGGTGAGATGAAACATAATTAAAATAATGTACAAAACGAGCCACCATCAAACAGCTGAGAATATTCAGTGTTAAACATGATAAAAATAATACTGTAATGTCATCGTTATTCGTAATGTTAATCACATATTTATTTGGAACATGGCAATAATTGTTGGCCGTCGGTCATATTCTCGCGTATACATATGACATTCCGGATAACAAGCGATATTCATTTCACTAAATCTTTTCATCTTATAATTCATTTCAACATTGATTGTGTAAGCATAAAATAACCTTCAGCCATTATAACATTTCGCAAAATTATATTCCTTTGCACTCTTTCCATGCATGCCCTTCTCATAGTTATTCCTTCTCTGTTTCTCTTCCTTTAGCTATACTATATCTCTTTCTTCTCATCTGCTAAATCACATCTATGCTTTCCCATCACCGCAGTTTTTCCCATCACTGACTTGTGTCATGCCTCCTTCCTAATGCTTTTGTTCATGATTACACATAAAATAATATACCTTTAGAGCATCTCCTTGCATTTAGACCCACTCATACACAGACACACGTGGAAATAAGTTTACACAATCACCAGCATGCACGCAAACGTTCTCTAGAATTGTGATATTACTCATTGTCAGCACCTTAAACTCAAACAAAATACACACATACGTACATACACATACAAACACACATATTTATAAACACAAACAGAAGTGCGTGGAGAGAGAGAGAGAGAGAGAGAGAGAGAGAGAGAGAGAGAGAGATAGATATGAAGAGAGAGAGAGAGAGGAGAGAGATAGAACTTGTGTGTGTGTGTGTGTGTGTGTGTGTGTGTGTGTGTGTGTGTGTGTGTGTGTGTGAGTGTGTGTGTGTGTGTGTGTGTGTGAGTGTGCGTGTGGAAGGAAGGGGTGAAGAAAAAAGAGATAAAAGGGGGGGGGGGGGGAGTACAGTATAAGAGAACAATCTGGAAAAATAAAGGTGGAGGGGGGGAGGACAGGACATAGGGGTATGATTTGCAATAGAAAGAAGGGATGGGGGATGCCGGGGGGGGGGAGAGGGAGGGGGGAGGGGAGGGGATGACAAGAGAACAATCTGAAAGTACCAAGTTCATTAAATACAATAACAATAAGGCCTCAGATTGGGAAACTCCTTCTGTATACAGCGAGGGGCATTCCCGTATCGGTTAATCCGACTCAGCCCCCGCTCGTTCACCTCGTAGGAGTCCGTCGGAATGGAATGTTTCACGGTCACCTCGAAAAGCCCGTCGCCCGGTGACGTCATCAACGTGACCAGGAAGTACTCGTACTCAGAGGTCATGGAGTCGGAAAGGTCAGGGACGTCCCCGTGAAGGTCGGCGCTCTTCTTGAACTTGAGCACCTGCGAGTTGGGAGAGATTTGGTAGATGCTCTTCACGTCTTTCACCGTGAGCCGCGCGCATTTCTCGCTCAGGTGGCTCGTGAGTCTGTTGATGAAATTGATCACAGATAAAGGAATGCGGCGATCGGAGTGCTCGCTGACGTCATGCCAGTCTAGACACGCGCACCAGTGGGGCTCCACGTCTGCGTCGGCGCACGATCTCTCCTTGGGCACCTCTTTGAAGAGGCTGATGCCCCTACTGCGAATATCGCCCTTCCCCGGGCCGGTGTACTTCAAAATGTCATGGAATGTTGCGTGAATATCAAAAGGGGTGGTGAGCCTTCTTCGATTGATTTGGAAATTGTTGACGGCTTCCGGGTAGGTCTCCGTAAAAGATGGCGGGAACCGGAAGCCGAAATAAGGCATGCGCTCTTCCAGTTTTCCCTGTGACGTGTTGCGCATTGCTGAAAAGCGCGCGCCGTGGTCGCTCATGAGGATGAGGATAGTTCTGTTGAGGAAGCCGCTGTCGTTGAGATTTTTGAGGAACTCCACCATGTCGTCGTCGATCTGTGGACGGGTGGAAATGAGACGTTCATAGTCGGTGCGTGCAGTCTGAAACTGGCGCGGGAGGGGAGATTTTACAGTGGTGTGTGAGGGGTGTCAATAGTGGTGTGTAGGGTAGGAATGAGATGTGCGTGTGTGTGGGGGGGGGGGGGGGGGGGGTGGAAATGAAGTTTGTGGTGTAAAAAGTGGTGTGGAGGGTTTGAAAATGATTTGTGAAATTTGAAAACGATGTAATCTTATAGAGTTTGAAAATGATTTGTGAAATTTGAAAACGATGTAAGCTTATAGAGTTTGAAAATGATTTGTGAAATTTGAAAACGATGTAATCTTATAGAGTTTGAAAATGATTTGTGAAATTTGAAAACGATGTAAGCTTATAGAGTTTGAAAATGATTTGTGAAATTTGAAAACGATGTAATCTTATAGAGTTTGAAAATGATTTGTGAAATTTGAAAACGATGTAAGCTTATAGAGTTTGAAAATGATTTGTGAAATTTGAAAACGATGTAATCTTATAGAGTTTGAAAATGATTTGTGAAATTTGAAAACGATGTAATCTTATAGAGTTTGAAAATGATTTGTGAAATTTGAAAACGATGTAAGCTTATAGAGTTTGAAAATGATTTGTGAAATTTGAAAACGATGTAATCTTATAGAGTTTGAAAATGATTTGTGAAATTTGAAAACTATGTAATCTTATAGAGTTTGAAAATGATTTGTGAAATTTGAAAACGATGTAATCTTATAGAGTTTGAAAATGATTTGTGAAATTTGAAAACGATGTAAGCTTATAGAGTTTGAAAATGGGGGTGGGGGGTGGGGTGAAAGTAGTGTGTGTGGTTTGAAAATGGGTTGTGTGAAATTTTAAAACGGTGTATAGAGTACACAATGGTGTGAGGAGTATGAAACTGATGTGTGGTGTGTTAGAAATATATCGTGTGTGTGCCTGGAGATAATAATAATAATAATGGATTGCATTTGTATAGCGCATATCCACTTATACAATGCTCTATGCGCTTAACATGATACATATTATGGATTTACAAATCAATTTTAAAGATACATAGTGTTACATACTCGTGCAAACACATATTCACTCACGCACGCACCGCACACACATACATACACACATACACACATACGTACACATGCACATACGCACATACAAACTCACAACGATTTGCAGCTTGGAAGGATTCTGTCTAATCGAAATACATGTATGATGAAAATAGAAATGCTTTTAGTTTCTTCTTTAAAATTTCTAGATTTTCTACTTCTCTGATAGTTTTTGGAAGCCCCTTCCAAACAAATGGGGCAAAATTCGAAAAAGAGCGTTGGCCATATGATTTGTAATTTATTTTAGGCTTAACAAGGGTTGTTTTGTCACTTGATGATCTGAGCGTTCTAGGAGGCACATAGGGTGTTAAAAACTATTTTAGATAGTCCGGTGACCAATCATTTAAGCACTTGTAGCAAGTTAAACAGATTTTATATATGATACGCTCTTTCACAGGGAGCCAGTGTAATGCTTTTAAAATAGGAGTCACATGATCATGCTTTAATTTTTTAGTAATTATTTTGGCAGCAATATTCTGTACTCTTTGTAGTTGTTGTAACTGTTCATCAGGTACACCAGCCAGTAAGGAATTGCAATAATCAATCCTGGACAATATAAGTGATGTTATTAAAGTTTTGGTGACACCAACAGATAGGTATTTTCTAATGCTCCCTATTTTCTTCAGTTGGAGATATAGATTTTTACAAAGATTGGATACATGGTATTTCATTGACATATCTTGATCTAGCACCACACCTAAATGTTTTATTTTAGTTTGGGCTCATATTTCGTGGCCATTGATGTTTATTCTGATATTATCGATTTCATTGCATGCGCTGTAACGGAGAAATAATATTTCGGTCTTATGCTCATTTAATTTTAATTTGTTCTTGAACATCCATTTTCTTATATCATTGATCAATCTGGCAATTCTATCTATGAGATTGGGTACATTGTCAAATAGGTTCCAGTTGTCGGAAATTTTGAATATTAAAAAATAAAGGCATAGAACTAATTTTGCAGCTTATTCAATACGGAACGCGCTGATTGTTTAACCCTATCCGTACGCCCGTGGGTCATTTTGTACCCCCGGGCTGTATTCTTCACAATACTTCTAGTACGAAGATCTCTTTGAAAATTTCAATTTTTCTCAAAAAATCATTTTGCCAGACTGCTATGCAAAGCGTACAGATCGGATTAACTAGTAACTTTCCTCTCTGCAAAGTGGTGGCACACAGTTCCCCACGTCATTTTCTTCCCAGTTGACAGTATTTTAATGGGTGGGCAAAAAACGGTCGGTAGACA